CATGCGGCCAGCTGTGTCCACCAGCACCACATCAAAGCCTTGGTTACGTGCTAGAAAGAAAAAAGTGGTCAACAGAAAACTCCTGGATTGTTACACTCATTTCCAGCTTCCTCTCAACAGATCCTAAACTGGCCCTATTAAAAGTCTGCCTGTTTATTTCCTTAGGTTCTGAATCAGGTTACAAGGTAATATAAGGAACAATTTCCACACTCTGTCATCAAGCATATTTAGGGAAAGGCAGGCAGGCGGGTGTGCGTATATGTGCGCTCAGCCGTGTCTTGACTCTCTGCAACCCTGTGGACTGTAGCCCGCCAGGCTCCTCTGTCCATGGAATTTCCCAGGCAAGGATACTGGAGTGGGTTGCATTTCCTCCTGCAGGGATCTTCCCGACCCAGGGCTGGAATCTGCATCTCTTAGGTCTCCTGCATTGGCAGGCAGATTCTTTACCACTGAGCCACACCTGGGAAGCCCTAGCAGGAGGATAAAGGTGACCAAATATTGAGGTAATGAAACAAATGTACGAGGTTTGCCTGCAACTACACGTGTTACCCCAAAGCGGAGCATGGCATGGCACATCACTAATTCTGAGCTGTTACTGAGCAGAAAGTTGGTGGTAGGGTAACCCTGGTCCTCTGCAAGTTCCAAGAGAACCCCCGGAGCAGAGAGGCCCCAGAAGCTCCCCGCTTCCTGTGCACTGTACCAAAGGCGATGGCCTCCATGGCAATGCCAGCAGCATCCTTGCCGTAGCCCTTCTCAAACAGCTGCACCATGGTGCGGCCGCCATGGTTCTCAGGGGGGTGCAGGGCACTCAAACGCCGGGTGTGCGTCCGCAGCTGTTCTACGGCCCCAGCACGAAATGTGTCACAGGCAGCGATGAGGACACTGAAGCCGTTCTCTAACAGCCAGAAGGAGATCTGCAAGAGACAAAACTGTCAGCCACCCCCAAAGCGGCAGAGAAGTGGAAGAAACAACGTCAGAGACAGGCTGGGGAACCGCACCGACCTTGGCAAGGTTGGTAGACTTCCCCACGCCGTTCACACCACAGAAAGTGACCACGTACGGGCGCTGATGACGCTGGGCATCCATGATGTCCCGGAGCATGTCTACACGGCGCTGCGGCTGTAGAATCTGCACCAAGGACTCTTGCAGAGCTTGCTTTACCGTGGAAGTCACGGCTGGGGGTGGGGCAGGGAGGTATACCCATGAAGCCCAAGTCAGGTGCTCTGAACACCTGGCATCTGGCTGAGTTAAAGGGAACTAGGATCCTGCTCAGGAATCCACACCGTATCTGACAGCCCTAAGCACCCTAATTTATTCAAATCCTCAAGTTATGTGTCACGAACACCTGAAGTCTAAGTGAAATGATGGAGATTTAGAGATTATAGTTTGTCAAAAGTCACGCACGTAATGAGAATGGTGGTGTCTTCATAACCTCCACCCAAGCACTTCGGGATCTGGGGAGATACTTACTGCTGAACGTCCCCATCACCTTCCCTTCCAACTTGTTGGCCACGGAATCACAGAGCTGGACTGCAATGTCTGCTGCCACGTTCTTAGCTAAGGAGGGGGACAAGCGTGGGGTGAGTGCCCCGGCAGGACTGAACGACCCCCATGGTACAGCCCTTCTACCCCACCATCCTTACCCCAGAAACACGAGTCTACCCTGTCCTGACTCACCAATGAGATGGTCACGCATCTTGTCCAGCACAGATTCCATGTCTTCACGAGTCAAGCTCTTGGAACCCACAAGGCCCTTCAGCATCCCAAACATGCCACCCAGAGTCCCCTTGGTAGCACTGCAGGCACAGAAAACCACAGATGCCCAGAAAGCCAGCAGGCAGCCAGCAAGTACTACCCCTTCTGGAGCCATAGCCACCACCTGCCACCTGGAATCCCATACCTAGGTTTGGTGGAGTTCTGAGCAGCTCCTTCATCATCTGAGCTGCTGCAGTCCAGATCCTGAAGCTGCCTCCCAGACCCAGTCCCTCGAATCTGGAGGGTATGGGGAGAAGAACGGGTCAGCAAACTATAAGCTGGCAGAGAGGGAAGCCTGGAGTGACCCTGTCTTACACTGCTCTGCCCCTTTAACTCCAGAAGCTCCAAATGTAACCCACCCTCTGGCTCCAAGGAATCAAGGGGACTGCCCTCCTCATCTCTCCTTCCTCCCCTGCTTCTTATTACCAGTGACCCTCACCCTGGCCCCTGCTACCTCTTACCAAGTTGATATCCTCGGGCGGGGCCACTTCGGGGGCTCCGTTGGTGGTGGGAGTGCTGTAGTCCAAAACTTCCTTGTTAGCAGAGCCTCCCAGTGCCCATACCCGGGGTGCCTTTTTGCCCTTCTCCTTGGGAGCATCTGACTTGCTGGACTTGCTGTGAAGGGTTACAGTAGAGAGGGTTACAGTGGAGAAGCAGGACAGGCAGCATCCACCTCAGAGACAAGGACTCCCTCGCCCCCAGTGTGTCTGGATAGCAAAAGCTTAGGGCAAAGCTGGGCTGCTCACCCGGACTTCTCCATACCCCTCCCGTGCTTCTGAATGAACTCTTCCCGCTTCCTGCGGATCTGCTCCTCTTTGGAAAGTTCCTCCCCATTCTCAGGTCCTACTGGGAGACCTGACTTTTCTGCGGGGGCTGCCTTGCTAGTAGCCAGAGGGCCATCAGAACCTGTCAAGGAGAAAACTCACTGAAAAAAAAAAAAACCATGAAGAAACACCTGGGGGATCACCAAGACTGGGGACGATGACGAGGGTGGTGGGCACCTGAGCCAGGGAGGCAAATGATGACAAAGGGAAGGACAGGGAACCACTTCAGTGCCACCTTAACAACGTCTCATGCCCCTGGATGTTCAGTGCCACCTTAACAACATCTCATGCCCCTGGATGTCCAAGTTCAAACTCACCTTCCTTCTTGGCCCCCTTGTTTTTCTTGTTATTCTTGGCTTTTTCCTTAGGTTTTTCACCCCGTGTCTCAATCATGGATCTCACAGGTTTCTTGGCCTTTTCAGAATCTTCAAATTTCTTCATGGTAGTGGGAGCACGGATCTTACTGCTCTCCTCTGCTTCACTAAAGAGAAAAGTTCGTGCTAAGTCGCTTCAGTCGTGTCTGACTCTGATCCTATGGACAGAGGAGCCTGGTGGGCTAGGCTCCTCTGTCCATGGGATTCTCCAGTCAAGAATTCTAGAGTGGGTTGCCATTTTTTTCTCCAGGGGATCTTCCCAAGCCAGGGATAAAACCTGGGTCTCCCACACTGCTGGTATTCTTTACCATCTGAGCCACCAGGGAAGCCCAGAGAGAAAAAGTGGACAGTCTAAATCCAAGGGAAGGGCCCTCACACCAAGAAGGCAATCAGAACTGGGAAGCCAACTCAGGAGCCCCTGTCAACCCACAGCATACTACCCACCCTTGGGAAGGAAGGGAATTCATCAAGTCTCAGAAATTGATTTTGGAGAGGGGAGGCCTCTCACCGAAGGAGCCGCAGAAAGTCATTCTGGAAATCGAAAGTGCCATTCAATAGACTCAAGGCACTCTGTTGTTGGATCTCAGTGCGGTACTTGTCTCGGAACAGCCGGTGAACATCGTCTATCAACTTGTCCACATACGTCAGTGTTAGGATCTTCTGAAAACCTACCTGTTCAGGGGAAGGAAGAGAGCCAGCAGATCTGCTTACGCGCCAGCCCAGAACAGAGGGAAGCCAACTGGACCCAGGCCTCCAGGGACTGGGCTCAGCACCCTGGCCGGCTTCCCTGACCTGAGGAGCAGCCAAGCCCTCTGACTGGGCCCAAGAGCAGCTTCCCTTTCCCCCTCCACCCTCCTTGTTTTCTCAGTTACTTCATCGTAGACACTGAGTGTAATTAATCAGGATCTTCTGAATCATCAGGACTGCCTGTCAATGTAATCGTTATCCCTCTAAAATACCTTCACTTACCACAAACACCAACTCAAACTGGTTGTCCAGTTTATACTTGAGAGTGAGTGCCTCATGGGTGAAGGAGTTGTTACCTCCTCTCTCCTGGAAAAAGAGTATATCTCAGAGTTCAGACTGTCCCCTCAAACACCTGGAGTTGGGCCCCTCCAGGGCTGCCTTTGGGAAGGAACCAGACATTCCCCTAAACTCAAACCTGTCCCCCAGGGCCAAAAGATTCAGTGGCACTGCTCTGAAGCATGCACCTGGGAGAAAAGTGTAGACACCCAGCTGGGGTGAAGAAGGGGAAAGGTGGGAGGGACCGACATGGGAGAGCGAGAAGGGAGTCCTCATGTAAACAATCAGGTTTACCGGCAGCCGGACACTACCTACACTTCTTAAAAGACGTTCTTTCATCCTTTATCTCATCCAGCCTTTGCGACAACAGAAAACCAAGCCGCTGGCAGCGAAAGGGAGAACGAAGGAAGGTCTCAATAGACTACGGAATCCGGCCAGAGTCCCAGAAAGCGGGAGAGGGGGAGGGGACAGAGCAAAGTTGCGGGACTGTGTGATGGGGGCGGGAGAAAGAAGTGGAGTCCCGGCTACGAGCGAGCGACCAGTTTGAGGTGGGCCGACAGGGTGAGAGGGAGGCCCGGGATCAGTCGAGGGGGATTAGGGGTCGGGTCAGGGTGAGGGGGGTGAGCCCGGAGTTCTGATCCCGCGGGGGCGGTACCTGCAGCAGCACGGAACGAATTAACGCGTTAACGGGCCCGGTGCATGAGTCGCTCACTCCCTGAAAGCACCAGAGAACGAGCCCGCCTTTGGAAAAAATGGTGAAGAAGTCGAGCATGGCGGCAGCGGGAAAGGAGCCGGGGCAGGCGCCGGGAACTCAGGCCTCGATCACCGCCGCTTCCTGCTGCGCCAGGCGCGGGACACGTCACACCAGCGGCCCCGGAAACCGGCGCAGCCGCACTTCCGCTCAGCGCCGCCCGGATCCCTCCCCGGCTCCGCCCACGGGCGCGCAGGACTGACGTAGACGCCAGACTGGCCAATGGAGGGTGGGGGCGTGCCTGGGCGGGGCTCGGAGGCGTCGCTGGCCAATGGGAGTGCTCGAATGAACGACTGGCGGCGCGTAGCAGTGACTGCAGGCTGAGACTATACCCGGGTAGGGTGCCGCTCTCCTAGCGGCCAGGAGCAGCAGGGCCATGCTTCAGAGGGCGCTGCGGCTCCGCCTGGGCCCGTACCTCTCCGGACGGGGGCTAGGCACATACAGAGGAGGCTCTACTCTGGGTAAAACTGAGGGCAGCGGAGGGTATCATGGTTCTGGGGTGTCCCCAGTCTCCAGCCTTGTGACCTTCAGGACTCAGAATCCCTGCCCATGCTGGAAAGACAATGGGTCGCTCGGAGTAGGGAGTAGCCTTGTCTGCTGGAGCTTGTAGAGCCTGGACAGGGGTATAGATCCCAGAGCTGCCCTTCTCAGGTGACATCCCAGATCATTCTATGCCTGAGTTTGCCACCAGAATAGCAGCCAGGCTGATTTCATTGGTTGCACAGAAATTAATGAAGTCCTGCTCGCATGCAGGATGCTGTTTTGAGGCCGTGAGGAGGAAAGAAGAGAAAGAGAGGATTTGATACATGTCCTGGAGGTGTCTGAGGTGTAGCTGGAGAGGGAAGGCTTCGTAGACCAGTTGAAAACTGAAAAGAAGCCAACTGGGACGATGTCCTGCAGTGCCAGGACGTAGTGTTGGTAGCCATACATGGAACAGGTGGGAGCTGAGATCAGCCTTGAAAGATGATGTTTACTGGCTCAAGGAAAGTGTGAGTTCCAGGTTCTGGAGAACTAAGCAAAGGGTAGGAAAAAGTATTGTTTTCGTGCAAGTAATTAGCAAAGGCCATCCGGATAGAAAGTTGAGTAGTAGTATGAAATGATGGGTAAGGTTAAGTCCAGATCAAAGAAAGAGTCGAATGCTGAGAAGAGTTTGAACTTTGAACTGGAGACAGTGACAGAAGACTTGGAGATTTATGAGCTTGGTATGCAAGACAAAAAGATTCATGTATTCAAGGCATTTATTGGACACTTAGGATGTGCCAGGCACTGTGCTAGGCTGGAGATTTGGTGGAGAACGTAGACATAGCACAGTATGAAGCAATCACAGATGAGTTCAAAGTTGCAAGTGTGCTGCATGTTGCAAAAGAACAGTTCACTGAGCTATGAGATAGTAACAGGAGAACTTGGCATAGGCTAGGGGAGGTCAGGAAAGGCATCCCTGAGAAAATGATAACTGAGCTGAGATCTAAAGGAACCAAGGAGTTAACTGGGCAAAGAAGTGGGCACAGTTTCAAAGCAGAGAGAACACCTGTGTGGGTCCTCTGTGGCAGAAATGAAGGGGTGAGGTTGGAGGGTTCTGGAAAGACAAGGTGAACAAGAGCTAGATCGGGCAGTGTCTCACAGGCCACATGAAGGATTTCGAACCTTTATCCTTAGAGTGATGGAAAGCCATGGAAGGTTCTAAGCAAAAGAGTGTTTGATTAGATTAATGTTCAGAAGAGGTCATTCTAGCTGTGATAGATTCATTGGAAAAGACCCTGATGCTGGGAAAGATTGAGGGCAGGAGCAGAAGGGGGCGACAGGATTAGATGGTTGGATAGCATCATCGACTCAGTGGACATGAGTTTGAGCATGCTCTGGGAGTTTGTGATGGACAGGGAGGCCTGGCATGCTTCAGTCCATGGGGTCGCAGAGTCGGACATGACTTAGCTATTGAACAACAACAAAGCTGTGATAGAGGAAAGAAGTTGGGGGGGTAGGACAAGAGGGGGATGAGTGGAAATGGGAGCTCTTAACAGCCTTCGTGGGAAAGACATCATTGTGGTTTGGTCCAGGGCAGTGGTGGTAGAGATGGGGAAAAAAAGGGGACAGATCGGAGAGATATTTAAGAGGCAAAGTCATAAGAACTTGATAACAGACAGGACGTGAGTGTAGATTTGCTGGTGGTGATGAATATCCAGGAGAAGGTGCCACTCAGAGGTTTATGCTTCTGAGGGCCCTGTGGCTTTAGATGTGCCGGGACCTATTGGTCCAGAAGCCCAGAAGAGAAATGTGTAAGTCACCTCGCCTAGGGAGAGTAGAGAGTGCTCATGTCAGGAAGCTGAATCTTGCAGTGCTAGGTATGATGCACTCAAAGGGAGTGAGACTCGGGCGCAGAGACCATGAGGCAAAGCTGTGGAATGCTGCTGGGTGCCAGCTGACCTTGTGAGGACTAAAAACTCAGTGTCAGTTTAGCCCACCTTCTCCTATGCCCATCTTCCAACCTCGGCACACACACCCCCCACCCCGCGTCTTGGAAAGGAGATGCATGGCCCTCTCTGACCATAACTGTGTCCCACAGACTGGGATGGAAAGGTGTCGGAGATCAAGAAGAAGATCCAGTCCATCTTCCCTGGCGGGGCTTGGAGCCCTCTGTATGACACCAGCCACCTGCCCCCCGAACGCTCAGATGTGGTGATTGTAGGGGGTGGGGTGCTTGGCCTGTCGGTGGCCTACTGGCTGAAGAGGCTGGAGAAGCAGCGAGGTGCCATTCGGGTGCTGGTGGTGGAGCGGGACCACACGGTGAGGTCTGGGGTGGGGCAGGTCGGGAGACTCAGAGTCAAGGGCAAGGGAGGAGAAGAAAGGCCGAAATCTCTGAAGGGACAGGACTTTGGCCCTTGTTGTGAAACAGCCCCAGGTTCTTCCTCAAACTAGTGACCTTGACAATAAGGTTTTTGCTTTTGAAAGCAAATTTCACAATGTTGTGTGTTTTGAGATTGCAGAGGTCTGGCCTGCATTCTAGCTGTAATCAGCTCAAACAGTTATTACAACCCCCTTGCAGGCGTCATTGTTTCTGAGGTTTTTGTGCTTTAATTGTTCCTGTTTACCACTGCTGGCTAGTCACAGGTCTTGCTCCATTGGCCATGTCCCTCTATTTTCCAGTTAGTAGAACCAAACGTCAGTTTCCAGCCTTGGACTTAAGAGCCATTACCATTTTGTAACATTTTGTATGAGGGTGTCCTGCCCTTTGATACCGACCCTTTTCTCTGTACCTATCCTAATAAGGATTTTAATGACCATTGTCCTCACTGCCTTCATTTGGATTTGTTCACTTCAGTTCCTCTTAGATTATAAAATAATCTGAAGGTAGGACTCCCCTTCAACTTTGGGCATGTGATTCTCACCCTGCACGAGAGTATTCTGCTCGTGTGGGACAAGGCCCGCCTCACCTTCTCTCGTCTCCGCAGTATGCCCAGGCCTCCACTGTGCTCTCCGTGGGCGGGATTCGCCAGCAGTTCTCATTGCCTGAGAACGTCCAGCTCTCCCTCTTTTCGGCCGAATTTCTACGGAACATCAATGTGAGATTGGGGGGTGGGGGTGGCGACCCCTTTAGCCCAGAGAGGGGGGCAGTCCTGCTGGCAGGGGAGACAGGACAGCTAGGAGTTGGAAACGCCAGTTTTCTTCCCAGTGGCAATGCCTGGAGGGGGCTTTTCTCTGGGTCAGGGCACTGAGCTGAGGGTTGTGGTAGGAAAGCCAGAAAAGCTCCCTGTCCTTTTTTTTTTTTTAATTTATTTATTTGGCTGCACTGGGTCTTATTTGCAGCATGCAGAATCTTTGATCTTTGTTGCATTATGCAGGATCTCTAGTTACAGCTTGTGGGATCTCTAGATGTGGCATGTGGAATCTAATTCCGTGACCAGGGATTGAACCTGGGCCCCCTGCATTGGGAGCTCAGAGTGTTAGCCTTTGGACACCAGGGAAGTCCCACTGCCTCCCTTCTTGAAGTCAGTTTCTTGGACGAGCTTTTCTTTGCACACAGGAGTACCTGGCGGTGGTCGATGACCCTCCCCTGGACCTCCAGTTCAACCCCTCCGGTTACCTCCTTCTGGCTTCTGAGGAGGGGGCTGCGATCATGGAAAGCAATGTGAAAATGCAGAGGTGGGCTCCTGGCGCAGCCTCTGCACTGCATCTCAGTCGCCTTCTGACTCACTTTAGAAGCCAGGGTGACAGAGCTGATGAGACGGGCCCTGCTCCCTGGGAGCTCAGTCTGGCAGGAAGATGGACACGGGCAAACCCCCAGTGTCCGGTGCTAAGTGCTGTGTCCAGACATGGACAGTAGCTGTCACGGTGGTTCCTAAATTCCCAGGCGATGAGAACCCCCCAGTACACATCCCTCCTACCAAGTCCCACGAATCCACACGTGTTTTCTCTAACAGCCAGAGAGTAGAGCTCGTAGGCTTTACAGGGGACTTGTGTCAAAGGCTGTGGGGGTCTCATGACCAGCCAGTCAAGAGCGGGCACCTTCCCCAGACCGTTCTGACTTTCACTAGTGACATCAAGTCACGTCCTCAATGCATTACAAATATTAACTCATTTAGTTGTTGGAACATCCCCATTTCCTACATGGGGAACCTGAGGTACCTGGAACTAGTAGTTGGTGGCGCCAGGATTGGAACCAGACTGCCTCGTCCGGCGTGTGAGTGTGTCCTTTGGGCGCCCGTGATGCTGCCTTTGGGCATCAGGGTCGCAGGGGGACAGTTGTGTGGTGAGCAGGACTGTACTGGACGGTGGACGGGGAGGGCCCCCTGAGTAGAACAGAGTGACCCTCCCTGTTGTGAAAGCACAGGGAACAGTTAGGGGGTGGCAGGGGGCTTGGTGTGGCCAAAGGGAGTCTAGGGTGTCAGACTGGAAAGGGAGGGCAGAGGCTGAAGAGTCTTGACCAGGCAGCAAGGAGCAGTGATGTGGGTGAGGTGACCAGGGAGCCAGGCCCACCCTTCTCTCCCCCCTGCCTCCCCCCTATACACACCTTCATCGAGCACACGTGCACAGACCCACACATTTCTCCAGGAAGGAAGGAGCCAAAGTCTGTCTGATGTCTCCAGAGCAGCTTCAGAAAAAGTTTCCCTGGATCAGCACAGAGGGAGTGGCCTTGGCATCATACGGTGAGCCTTGCTTGGAGAGGGGGTCAGAGGTTGAGGGGCGCCTCAGGTTAGAGGTCTCAGCACCCCGCAGCCAAGGAGGGCGTCCTCCTGGCCGGCAGGACCTCCCCTGGGCCAGGCCGGCTCTCTGTCCTTTCCTAGGATCTAGCTCTGGTGCATCGGTCAACATGACATTCCGCAGCTTACGAGCGCTGAAGAAGAGTCAAGGGGTGTGGGGAAGACAACAGGAGAGGAGGGTCCTAGGCCCCCTTCACGAGTCTTCTTTCTCCTCACAGGGCTGGAGAACGAGGGTTGGTTTGACCCCTGGTGTCTGCTCCAGGGGCTTCGGCGAAAGTTACAGTCCATGGGGGTCCTTTTCTGCCAAGGAGAGGTGACACGTGAGTCCGTGGCCCGGTGCCCACAGCTTGGGTCCTCTGCCAGCGGGGAGGCCAGCCCACACCGGGTCTCGCCTGCACACACAGGCTGAGCAAGGGGAGTGGGGGCTTCTCCCCAGGTCTGGCCCTGAGCATCCTGACTCCAGCTCCTAAGCAGATTTTTCCATGACTCGTGAGCTGCTTGAAGTTCTGGCATCCTCCTGTCCTCTGTGGCCAAGTTTGTCCCGGCTGCCCTGTCCCTGTTGGCTTCAATGCCTGTGGGACAGCTCCCGGCCTTCAGCTTTCTGTCCTTAGGGAACCAGTGGAAGCTCCATTTCCTTCCTCTTCAAGGCCTCAAGGACTTATCTTCTTCCCTTTTTCCTGCAGGTTTCATCTCTTCTTCCAGCCACATGGAGACTGGCAGCGGGGAGCAGGTGACTTTGAAAAGGATCCATGAGGTCCATGTAAGTTCCCAGCCTAGGGGCCTCCTTTAGCAAAGTGCAGGGTGAGGAAGGTCATGACTGCTCTTGTGTATATGCATTTTGATTAAATTTTTATAATTATAGAGGAAAATTGCTTTACCGTGTTGTGTTGGTTTCTGGTATACCACAACGCGAATCAGTCATAACTACATACATCCCTGCTTTCTTGATCCTCCCTCCCCACTCCCATCCCACTCCTCTCATTGTCACAAGACTCCAGGCTGGGCTCCTGTGTTATGCAGTCCCATCCCACTCGCTAGCTATTTTACACACGCCTGTCCTGATCTTCCTCTATCCACTCCCGGTGTGGGTAAACTGAGGCTGGGGAAGAAATGGACAGCTCCCTCCCCTCCCTCTCTGGCGCCCGCAGGTGAAGATGGACCGCAGCCAGGAGTTCCAGCCTGTGGAGTGTGCCATCGTGGTCAATGCAGCGGGGGCCTGGTCTGGGCAAATCGCAGAGCTGGCTGGTGTTGGGAACGGGCCGCCGGGCACCATGCAGGGCACCAGGCTGCCCGTGGAGCCAAGGAAAAGGTGACCCCCAGGGCTCTGCAGGGGTGGTGACAGGAGGGTCGGGGCCGGGGGGTCACTGTTTTCGCCACTTCTCACGCTGCCGGTCACGGCAGGTATGTGTACCTGTGGCACTGCCCCCAGGGACCGGGCCTGGAGGCACCGCTCGTCGCAGACCCCAGTGGAGCCTATTTCCGTCGGGAAGGATTAGGCAACAACTACCTGGGCGGCTGTAGCCCCACGGAGGTAAGCTCCGTGGGGTCAGGGTGCCGGCGAGGAGACGGAGAGCGGGTGACACTCAGGCTTCCTTGGAGGGTCCCACGCGGGTACTGACGCCGCAGTCCCCTCTGGCTTTGAACTGGGGTCTCTTTCCCCCAGCCCCCGCTCACCAAGGGGTCCGACCAAAGAGGTCGGTGACGTCTGGGTCTGCCCTTGTTTCCTGGACAACGTCAGCCCTGTCCCCACCTCTCCCTACCAGGAGGAGGAGCCAGACCCAGGGAACCTGGAAGTGGACTACGATTTCTTCCAGGAGAAGGTGTGGCCCCGTTTGGCCCAGAGGGTACCAGCTTTTGAGACTCTAAAGGTAACTGGACAGATGACCCTGGAACGTCTGGGCCCGCTCCCAGAGCCTGCCAGCCACCCCACACAACAGGGGCCTCCACTTCACAAGGGCTGAGGACCATTCCGTGGGCCCGCTCAGCGGTGGTAAGGGTACTGGGAGTGAGGTGGGGTGCATGGGCAGCCCTCCCAGGAGCCCCACGTCTTGTGCCCCCGCAGGTCCGGAGCGCCTGGGCTGGTTATTATGACTACAACACCTTTGACCAGAATGGCGTGGTGGGCCCCCACCCGCTTGTCGTCAACATGTACTTTGCGACAGGCTTCAGCGGCCACGGGCTCCAGCAGGCCCCCGCCGTGGGGCGGGCTGTGGCGGAGATGGTGCTAGAGGGCCACTTCCAGACCATCAACCTGAGCCCCTTCCTCTTCAGCCGCTTTTACTTTGGAGAGAAGGCCCAGGAACACTGTATCCTCTGAGCTCAGGAGCGCCTCATGGGCCCGCCACCAACTCTATTACCCTGGGCTCTGTTCTCGGCCATGCTCATACCTCCTCGCCACTTGGGCTCTCCCCAGCACCAAGCCAGGATCTCCTCCACCCACCTCTCGTCCAGGGCACCCTGCCCCACATGAGCCCAGGCCCAGGCTGACGGAGAACGATGGGGCGGGACCCCAGGACTGATCACAGCTCAGGTTGATGCCTCCCACCAGTAGCCCAGCGGGACACAACACCTCAGGGGACCTGAGCACCAGGACCCAGGACTGGCTCCTTCTTGGTACCAACCCAGAGAGACTGCCTCTGCCTTTCTCCACAGAGCCCAGACCAGAAGCAACCTGGGGCAGCTTGGCTTAGGTCTATTGACTTTTCTGTTTACCCTACTCATTGATCAATAAATGTGATTAACTCCTTCCTTTTAGCAGTCCTCTGTCCCGTTGTCTTTTCACCCAATGGCTGTAGCTTTTGAAACACCACCCTAGCGGGGGGAAAAAAAAAAAAGATGGAGGTGGCCCTCCCAGATCATCCACTGGGAGAGGGAGGGAGGAGAGGGCGGTCATGCTGCCAGGGGGGGACAGTGGAACCCCTGTAGAGGGGTAGAGGGTGGGTAAGCGCCAGGACTTACCAGGTGAGCAGAAGAGGAACAGCCACCTGAATGCGGAATGAATGCAACAAACTCGACGAAACACAGGAAGGAAGTTGCCAGGGGAAGGGGGCAGGGATGGGGCAGGCTGAACCCAGTATCTGTTAACCCTATGAGGCTGCCTCCAGTGTCCAGTATCCTTCCTTCTGTACAGACACCCCCACCTACTGTCAGAGGGAAAAGGCCTTCATCTGGCTCCTCCTCCAGCAGCTGCTTCCTCCAGGACTACAAGTGCTGCACTTGTTAGGAAGGCAGGAATGAAACCTCTGTGGCTCAGATGGTAAAGAATCCACCTGCAATGCAGGAGACATAAGAGACAAGGGTTTGATCCCTGGGTTGAGAAGATCCACTGGAGGAAATGGGATTTTCCTGGGAAATCCCATGGACAGAAGACTGGTGGGCTACAGTCTATTTCAGTTCAGTTCAGTTGCTCAGTCATGTCTGACTCCCTGCGACCCCATGGACTGTAGCACGCCAGGCCTCCCTGTCCATTGCCAACTCCTGGAGTTTACTCAAAATCATGTCCAGCGAGTAGGTGATGCTATCTATCTCATCCTCTGTCGTCCCCTTCTCCTCCTTCCTTCAAGCTTTCCCAGCATCAGGGTCTTTTCCAATGAATCAGTTCTTTGAATCAGGTGGCCAAGGTATTGGAGCTTCAGCTTCAGCATCAGTCCTTCCAATGATTATTCAGGACTGATTTCCTTTAGGATTGACTGCTTTCATCTCCTTGCAGTCCAACGGACTCTGAAGAGTCTTCTCCCCGTTGGCCCTATTCAACCACCTCCACCCTCCAGCATTTGAGGTGCACAGCAGTAGGAGGATTTCCCACACCGACAAGCCAAGGAACCCTGCTCAGGAAGATATTGACATTCCCTCCAGGGGGAAACAAGCTCAGAAAATGTCACTCCCTATATCCCCTGCGGCTGCTTCACACGACCATCAACATCCCAAAGCCATGTCCCTTCACTCTGTTTAACCCAGGACTCGCCACCGTTTGCCCATCTCACTTGGCCTTAGTGCCTGCAGGGCAGCGCCTGGCCAGTGCGGTTGGACTTGAACGTGAACTTCAGGGGAGCTGGCCAGGCCTGGCCGCCCCAGGGGCTTGCCTGCCTCTCCGCTGTTACCACCGAACCGACTGTGCCTGGACCTTGGGAAAGTCTGGCATCATTTCCCTCACTTGCCTGAAAAGAAAAAAAGGTATCAACGCTTCCCTGGCAGGGTGTTGGGGCATCCCTGATGGCTCCGCTGGTGAAGAACCCGCCTGCAATGCAGGAGACCCCGATTCCATCCCTGGGTCGGGAAGATCCGCTGGAGAAGGGATAGGCTACCCACCCCAGTATTCTTGGGCTTCCCTTGTGCTCAGCTGGTAGGGTGTTGAGAGGACTCAAAAGTGAATCAAAGGTACTTTCCTTGTCCGACAGAGAACAGCCCCGAGGCTGCAAGTTCCGCTGCTGGTTTCGGGGAATCGGAAGGAAAGAGTTCGCCAAGCTTCCGCCGGCTCAGTGGCTGCGCGGATGTCCGCGAGTCTCCCCGCGGGCCCGAGGACGCGGCGGCGGAGGACGTGGCCGCCGGCGGGCAGGGCGCCCCCTCAGGCCCGGCTTGGGTGAAAAGGCCCTCGGAGAGCGCTGTCACCTTCTCTGTCGCCAAGAAGCTCGTGCAGAGAGTCCTTGATCAGGGCAGCCTGGCTCGCTCAGGTGGCTTCCGTTTTGAACCGTAGATTCTTTTCCCTCCAGTCTCCTCGCCTCTTTTCTCTGCTCGCAGCCTCTCTCTCCTCTGATGGCCTTTGTGACAGTGTTTCCGCAAGAGCAGGGCTTTACTTAAGGGTAAAGGGTCTATGAGGGGGGATCCCTTCCACAGTCATTTCGTGAACCTAGGCCATGGGCTGGGCATCGCTTGACAGTACTGAGCGAGACAGAGTCAGCCCCCTGTCCTCCTCCTGGAGACACTAGGAAACACACACACCCAGCCAAGTGCAGCTAAGAGAGGGGAGAATGGGATACACACTCACTGAGCTGACCCAGGGGCAAGGGAGCATCGGAAATGACCCACCATCAGAGGAAGTCACAGTCTAGTTAGTTTTAAAACCTTTTGTAAAAATTGAAGTACAACCTACATACAGAAAAATGCCCAGATTTTAAGGGTACAGCGTACCCAGTGTCACTGCAGGATAAATAAAACATCACTCACACTCCAGATGCCCTTTTGGGGGAGGTGTCTTCCAGTCACTTTCACCCAAGGGTGACTGCTACCCTGGCTTTAACATCATAAATAATTTTATTTGGTTTTGAACTTTGGAAACTTGGGGTCATACTTCTGTACTTTTGTGTGTGGTGCTTTGTACTCAATATGTTGATTAACTCTTGTTGCATTTAGCGGTGGAGCTTCCCGGGTAGCTTAGCAGTGAAGAATCTGCCTGCAATGCAGGAAACGCAGGTTCGATCCCTGGGTCAGGAAGATCCCCTGGAGGAGGGCATGGCAACCCACTCCAGTATTCGTGGCTGGGAAATGCCATGGACAGAGGAGACTGGCAGGCTACGGTCCATGGGGTCGCAAAGAGTCATATATGACTGAAGCGACTTAGTACACATGCGTGCATTTATTGGTAGTTCATTTATTCTCATTGATGTGTAATTTTGCATTGTATGGATAGACATCAGTTTATTTCTACATTCTACTGGATACATTGATGGATATGGACTGTTTCCAGCGTGGGGTTGTTGTGAATAGTGCTGCTGAGGCCTTCTTATGGTTGTCTTTTGGTGAGTATATGTAAGCGCTTCTGCTGAGTATATTCCTAGAAGTGGAGTATAGCGCCAAACAGGTTTTCAAAGTCCCTGTACCAATTTACACTCCTACAGGCGGTGTATGAGTTCCTGTTTCTTCACATGCTTACCAGTACTTGATACTGTCTGTCTTCTTCATTGTAGCCATCCTGCTGAGTGAGGGGAAAGTCAGTTGCTCTGAGGTTTAATTTGCATTTTTCTGATGACTGACCAACTGTGCATCTTTTCATGTCTGCTGGGCACTTGGATATCCTTTTGTGAAGCATCTGTTCAATTCTTCTGCCTGTCTTTCCAATAGGTTGTTTCTTTTTTCCTTACCAGTTTGTAAGAGTTCCTAAATATTATGGATATGAGACATATTGGATATGTAATATTTTATGTCTCAGGAGATTGCTTTTTCACTCTCTTGATGATGTCTTTTGAAGAACAAAAGTTCTTCAATTTAACGTTGTCCAGTTTATCATTTTTTCTCTTATGGTTCTATTACTTAAGTTTTTTTCTTCTCTTTTTTTTTTTTTAATTGTTACCTGCTGGGGACATAGGGAGTGTGCGAAATGGGTGAAGGTGGTCAAAAGGTATAAACTTCCAGTTATAAAATAAAGAAGTTCTGGGGATGTAGTGAACAGCATGGTGACTATAGTTAATAATACTGTATTGTATATTTGAAAGTTGCTAAGGGAGTAGTACTTATAAGTTTTGAGGACAAGAAAAAAAATTGTAAGTATATAGTAATAGATGCTAACTAGACTTATTGTGATAATCATTTCTAAATATATACATATATTGGATCATTATGTTGTTCACCTAAACTAGTACAATGTTAGATGTCAATTATATCTCAATTTTTAAAAATCAGGAAAATAATCATAGGAAGATAATCACCTATATTTTCTTCTAAAAGCTTTGTTGGGATTCTCATGTGTATCTACTATCCATTTGAAATTACTTTTTTAGTATGTTGGGGTATGTGGGTCAAGATTCATTTGGTCCTACAATGCGGTCTAAATTGACCCAGACCACCTTTCCCACTGCATTGAAGTGTCAGCTTTGTTATAAACCAGGAGACTGTATAGATGTGGGTCTGTTTCTGAACACCCTATTCTTCCATTAGTCTATCCTTGTACATGAATATCATTGTGCCTTAATTCAGTTCAGTCAGTCAGTCGTGTCCGACTCTTTGCAACGCCATGAATCGCAGCACGCCAGGCCTCCCTGTCCATCACCAACTCCTGGAGTTTACTCAACTCATGCCTATTGAGTCGGTGATGCCATCCAGACATTTCATCCTCTGTCGTCCCCTTCTCCTCCTGCCCCCAATCCCTCCCAGCATCAGGGTCTTTTCCAATGAGTCAACTCTTCGCATGAGGTGGCCAAAGTATTGGAGTTTCAGCTTCAGCATCAGTCCTTCCAATGAACACCCAGGACTGATCTCCTTTAGGATGGACTGGTTGGATCTCCTTGCAGTCCAAGGGACTCTCAAGAGTGTTCTCCAACACCACAGTTCAAAAGCGTCAATTTTTCGGCGCTCAGCTTTCTTTATAGTCCAACTCTCACATCCATACATGACCACTGGAAAAACCATAGCCTTAATTACTGTTGTCTTACACTGTCTTTATTATGCTGGTAATGGAAGCCTCTCAAAGTTTCTCTTCAAAAATTTTAGGTTTTTTTTTTTTTTAATATCTGACCTCCCCACTCCCAAGCCTTTTTCAAAAATATATAAAAAGCAATCATTTTGAAAGCTCAAAAGGAAACTAATGTATAAAGGCATAATTTATAAACTGTATCCATCATTAAATTCATTGCTACCACAATCTATATTACATTCAATGCCTGCATATTTACATGAGACCTACGGAAAAGCACATAAAAAGTAAATTCACACCATTTTAGTTTAAATGACCTTTAGTACATACAGGATATAGTTTTGAAACAAAGGGAGTTTTTTAAAACATAGGAACTGTTTTCCAAAGACCAATTTGCTACATTTGACAA